CATTTTGAAGCTAGTCGAGTGGTTTATGAAGACATTTTTTTTGACAGTGTGTTATGTTGTGTTTGCATAGAATCCCAGAGTTTGAGAATATGTTAAAGAGAACTTCTCCCGTTAGACAAACACTTTCAATACACATTCTAGACTGACAGAAATTATCGCTCTATCTGGTTATCACCATTCAGACATCTTAAAAAGCACGTATAGAATAATGCATACGGAAAAGTATAAAAATTTTCGTTTCTGATACTCTTATTTTTCAGTAAAATAGTCGCGTGCGTTCTGTTTTCTTTAGTGACGGACTCAGTTGATGCGGAACGTCCTCTCTCTCGTCATATATCCATCGTCCTCATGATATCTTTGAGTTTTCTTTTCTAATCTATATGTATAGCAAACGCCATTTTACTCATACTATTTGACAGACCCCAAATAAATATTCTATGGCATTGAAAAGATGAGTATTTTTTCGTTTGGAACGAAAAATGGAGAATAACAGCAGAATGAAACCAACTCATTTTTCTTACTTACTAACTAACATTCCGTTTGTCGCTGGTCGCACGTATAGATAAATTCAAATTATTATCAGAGAGTAGTTACGTTTCATGTTAGTTTTTAGAAGTATATTTTCGTCCCTTCACTTCTGCATGCATAGAAATTATGATTACTTTTTTTCATTGCTCGATGACAATGAGTCATTCTGTTTTATTATTTCAGCTTATAAAATTCTATAAAATGGGTCTAACGTCTTCGAAAATACGTCTTCGAAACATCCCATCGTCTAAACAAGTGGATCGTGCGACACAGAAAAAAGTGGTACAGACAAATCGTAAAGTTAATACAATGACTAATTATTTCGATGATGTAGTTTCAGACAGATACGATGAACACACTACAGAGGACAAAGCAGATATTTGTGAAGGTGATGAATAATGGTAATAATATCTCCTCGTATTGACCTTCTCATTACTATTTTCCTTTTGGGTGTATATATGAGCGAATCGTCATTTTTTTGTACAATTACATTTTTTACGCATTTTTGAACTCATTTCCGTTCCTATGAACGGATTTCTGGAAATATTTTTTATTCTCTTACTTACATTCTGGCTCACTACTACAGAAAATTTCGAGACGATATTTCATGAACTGACTGAGATGAGTGGTTCAAAAGTCAAAAATAGACGTTTTTTCGATGATTCATCCACGGAAAATGGATTTTTTTAAGGAAAGAAGAACGAAAAACGGAAAGAAAGTGACACGTTTGGTAGAACTTGTGATTCTATGTCCAGCCATATGACTTACTTCTGGTTTTTTATACTTTATCCTTCTCGTACATACACAAAACACTTTTGAATTACAAATCAGAAACGGTTCTCACGACTTAAGGAAACATTGTTCAGAAAAAACTAAGTGAGCAAACGGTAGAGCGTAAAAAACGGTTTGGAAAATTGTTTATCGCCTTCGAATAGAGCCTCTTTCGAATATCATAAGAATGTGAAAACGATTTTTCTACGCACTTTGAAGCTACAAATTTTCGCAATTATGTCCTCTATAACTCTCGCAGGACTCGTCCGATTTAGCTCAAACTTTTACGATAAATAGCTTACAAGATCTTCTAGGAATGACTGAAATTGTAGCTTTGTATCTTTGTATTTTCTTATGAGATTTCACATTATACTGCAGAATGAAGCTACAAATTTTTCTAAACGTATCCTAAGCTTTTTTCGACGAAACTCGTGTTATCATATATCATTCTGTTCCTTGTGCTAAGCTGATAATTTTAGAAAAATACAGAGTACAGTTTGGGGGTATTAGATTTCATTTCAGATTAATGGCTCCGGTGACCAAAAAGAAACGAGCTCAATATAGTAAGACAAGGGACGAAAAAGTTAGAGTGAAGAAGTTATTAGATAAAATCTATGATAAAGAATTCAAACGGAAAAGAAACGAACAATAACAAAATCGTCGTAAGCGTAAAAAACAGCAGCAGGCTGCTGCACCATCAACCGTTTCAATGCCAACTTTACCACCAACAACAAAGAAAAATGATTTACGAAAAGAGGAAGGTGATCGAAGACGGCGATCCAACACTCTTGCTTTGCGCAAGGAAATTGAAAACCTTCGTCAAACCGTACGCCGCTTAACAAGGGAAAATGAAAAACTTGTAGCTTCTCGATCTGAAACTCCACCACGTGAATAACTGTTTATTACATACTTTTGTCTGTTCATGCAAATAAGTCTTACGATATGGGAATCTAGAATTGTTTGTTCATTCATTACTATTCAAATAAACAGGTATCGCCCTGATAGAACTGTGATTTTTGCAAGACTGTACCTAAAAATATGAATAACTTTCTGTGTAATTTTCCCTTGTACATCGAAGAGAAATTTTTTCATTTGGATCGCAGTTTTGGATTATGTTCAATTCTTTCTTCTAAGAAGAAAAGCTTGCCAATGCAGCTCCTATGAGACAGACCAATGACGACTTTTCTACAGCACTAAATTTTAAGATGTTTTTTTGTCGTGTCCTGTTTTTAATCTTTCTATTAAGCATTCGCGCGTAAGAAATGTAAGACTTTGTCAATTCTAAAGAATATTCTGTACAATAAAGATAAAATAGTGAAATCAATTGCATTATTCCTTTTTCATAGAAACAACATAGTGAGTTGTTTATTAGTCAAAAGGCAGTACGCTTTATTTGTACAAAATGGGAATCGAACATAGTAAAAGTAAAGAAAAAGACGATAAAATCATAAGCGATCTTTAGAGATCTTTTAGGATTTTTTAGGATTTTAGTGATTTTTAAAGATTTTTAGCGATTTTCGATTTAAACCGAATTTTCAAGCTCAAATCAGCTGTTTCCCCTTGCTAAAACGACATTTCCATTACAAACATTGTAGATCGTTAACAGAGCAACTTAGTCCTTTACCTCCCACAGGTCACTGGAGTGACCATTGGAAAATTGCAGAAAATACGAAGCATCAAATTTAGAACCTGTAAAGACATTATTTGTGGTGAACTTTATTAGTTATCGATTGATACATATACCTTCTAGACGAGTTTTGATTTTGATGCTTGCTTTACTGTCTGCAGTATTTTTGAAAATGGTCATTCCATTGATCCGCTGGGAGTAAAGGGTTAGTATATATCTACAGCTTTTAAATCGATATTTACAATGATACTTGCTATTTTAAAATTTGTCATTTAAACTCCAAATAAAAAGATTGAGTATCCTGCTAAAACGGTGTATGTTATGACTGTAAGAAATTTTATGATGCGAGTTAGAAGGAACCTTTTAATTTTGTACCTTGTAGATTACATTATTTCATTCTTTTAGTTTCATCTATTAATGTTGGTCTTTACTAACAGAAAATTTTTCTCTTTTTAACTGTACCAGGAAGTTTTACTTTCGTTTGTAGTGGAATATAGTATAACGTGTTCCGAAAATAAAACAGTTTACATTACAAGCTTTCTTCTCTATTCATGAAAAATTAACGTTGTGTTTTTGACGGTTTACGTTTAGAATAATATAATGAGATTTTACTCCTTTCTTTAAAAAAACTATCTATTAGTTTACTTTTGCAGTATTTTACTGCAGAAGTGAAATTTGTTCGGTTCTGTCTACTGTCTGCACAAGGATTGTCGTTGTGTGATAAATCTTTGCTGCATATTCACTCATACATTGATGAATTATCTAGCCCAAGTAAAAACTATCTATTAGTTTATCTACTATCGCAGCACTATGAGCGTAAAAACAAATAAATCCTCGTATAAATAGAGATCGGCTGTATACTACTCGTTAAGAGTGATGCTGACCCTTAAAGTATTGCACAACTTTAATTGTTGTACATGATATACGACAGAACGTCAAAGTTTACTTTTGCAGTATTTTACTGCAGAAGTGAAATTTGTTCGGTTCTGTCCACTGTCTGTACAAGGTTTGTCGTTGTGTGATAAATCTTTACTGCATATTCACTCATACATTGATTTACTCCTTTCATTCTACATAGAAAAAAGTTTATAACGACAACAATTTCACTGAGCAGAGAAAGTCTTATCTTCATCGTTTGCGCTGTCCGTAGCAATTAGACTCATTAAAAAGCGCGAAAAATACCAAAAATTTTCAAATAAATGGACGAGATGTCCGAAAACGCATAAATTTTGCTTCCTATGAGTTATTTCGTATGACTCATCAACAAATTTGTTTATGATAAGGTTGCATCATTACGACAATCGAAACTGGCCTAAACGTTGATTTATTGTGGTCGTTTATGACAATAGCATTTTTTTGTAAATGACGGCCGTAATCCACCGTAACCGATCGATCGTAGTATATAACCGCTGCATACGGCGATCTTTTTTTTAACATAAATTACCGTTTACGCCTGTTTATGACCGTGTTGATTCAACCTAGATTACTATTTCTAACTCTCTATGTTTAACAGTAGAACAACTATTCATGTATGTTTAAATAATTTTTGTCCTATTTCTGAGATTGTAACTAAACAAATAAATGGTGATGAAAGTGGCGGTAAATAAGCAGAACAAGTAAAATAGACAGTAATTAGTGAGGAGGACGATGTTTTCTGCTTATGGTTCATTTGTACAGTATTACAGTCATACAAAAAGCAAGTCATTCGCTCGCGCTCGTCCTGGTACAGCTAAGTTAAATATGATCTACGTCTGTGAGCAAATCTTTTAACTAAAGTATGAGTTTAAATAGAATCCAAATCAAAAAAGAATTATCAGCCCCCCTCAGATGCCGTTGAAACGTTCACAGATACATGAGCAATGCAATCGAAAACCAAGACTACACTTTTCTATCAAAACGTGTTCAGAAAATGCTGTGCGCTCTTATGTTTTGAAATCTATAGTAGAGTTATTTTATTCTAAAGCGATAAAATGCTTGATACAACAAAAATGAATAAAAGAATCAGTTACATTTTTCCACTAGAAGGTGTATGATGCATATATTGAAGATAGATTAGAATGATCTTACTGCTGAATTACAATAATTTGTGTACTTCAATATCTTCTGGTGTAAATGGCATGAAATCCGAATATGTCCGTCTATCTGTGCCATCCGATTTTTCAATGTAAGCAAAAGATAAATTGATGTAATTATTATTGATCCAGTTACTCTGATCATCAAGATAAAGATCCTGATTGGACCCAATTATCGGACCTGCTTCAGCCTTATGCCAAACAGCCGTTTTTGCTTCTTCAAAATCACATTTAGCCTGGTGTGAGGTGTGGGTCAATGTGAAAAGGAAGGCGAGTGGATCCGATTTCATTTCGTTCACAGGTGGAGCTGTCCATGGAACTGAGGTGAAACCATCATACATTTGTTCTACTTCTGATAGAATGACACTCATAGTCGAACCTTGATTACCACACTTTTGGTAAAATCCGCGGCACCAAATCCGTTCCGCCAGGCTTTATAAATCAATTTCCAATGTATCGGGTTGTCCATAGAATTCACTGAGTTTCTGTTGATGCTGTTCAGTTAACAGCGCGCCATCCTTGAATAACTGTTCTTTTTGATTAGTATTTATCTCCAATGACACGTTTATCAGATTCCGCCAGTCAATCACCGACGTCGATTGATCAAATTTCACTTTTCTGTAGGATGTTTGTAGTTCTTTCATTTTTTCTTCCAATTTTATTAAGCGTTGTTGAAACTCTTCTACTCTCTCTCTGATAGTGATGATGTGACGATAACGAGAAATCATGTTAACACAAATAAGAATATTCATGATGATGTTCCTAGTAGCGGATTTACGATTTCAGATATGATTACATCATGTAAAAAACTCGTTCATTTTGTCAAAAAAAATGGTTTGAATTGTCGTCTTCATCAGAGAAATGCTCACTGTTTAGTTCAAGAAACAACTACAAGATGGATATCGTTATATCTGATGCTGATAACAATCAACTTGAGTTATGATGCTCTAGCTGAAGTTTTATCTTAGTCTTAGTTGTACCATCCACCTGATATTTGAAAGATCATTGTTCAAGCTTAGTCATTAATTCACATTGTGGTATCAAATATTTCAAACAAAAGTGTTTAACAATTATAGATAATAAACTCGATTTAACAAACATTCATTATGCTGCTGCAATATTAGATCCAACTATTAGACAATTAAAAGGTTGTACAGCAGGTGAACAGGCAAGAAGACGAAAATTTTTGAAACGAAGACTGGACAAGATGACAAATCAACAATTAGCTTCCCTAATAATATCTGATGTTGATGATGAACAAAATTCTGATGATGAGTACTATTTGAATCGATATTCTGATCAACACAGTTGTGAGTAATTTGTTAGTTAGTTATCATGTGTGACTGCAAGGCAAAACGGATAGTGTTAATAATTCTTTGACCCATGTTTTATAGCAAAAAGGCGTGTAGCCAATTAATGATCTACGCCTTTTCTCAATATTTTAGGTGGAAGGAAAAACAAAAAAGATGAATTGAGCAAATATTTGAAATATGATCATCCGGATGTTGATAAAAATATATATACAAAACCGATTAGTTTAAATAATAAAAAGATCAAAGTTTGTGATCCTTTACTATTTTGGAACGAAATTTCAAACACGTTTCCTTTGTTGGCTAAAGTAGCCGAACAAATTTTGGCTATTCCACCTACATCAGGTAGTGTAGAACGCTCATTTTGTGGTGTAGATTTAACTATTACAGAATTGAGAACAAATATCAATCCGGATACATTTAACGATTGTGTATTTCTGAGATCTGTAAAGAAGCAAATGAAAAATTGATTTATATTTGTTTAGTTGTAACTACATTTTTTTATTATTTTGCTGGTGTCAAAGAAAAGGAAAAAGAGAGACATAACTAAATCAAAAAAAAACCAGCGCCTTAGATATGCCTCGCATTATGATGATTAGACTTCATGACAATACACGATCGAGACAAACGGTTTTTTGTTTCGGGTTATTGTTAGATCAACTAAGAAAAAGGACGGGAAACGGTTTCTGCTAGAAAATCGTCCAATATGATTTTGAGTGGAAATGATCAGAAATGCTTCCCTTTTCACTTCCCATTTTCAAAAAATCCTTCTGGTGTCTTTGAGAAAAAAATTACATTTCATTTTTCGCCACCAGTTCAACAAAAGCCATTTACCGTTTTCCGCAAATTTCTCGTCCGATTTCCAAGTCCTT